AAGCCTGCTTCTCCCTCTCCCACTCCCCCTGCTTGTGTTCCTGCTCTCACTATCTCTCTCTCTGTCAAATAAATAAATAAAATCTTTAAAAAAAAAAAACAAAAAAACCCATATACAATTACCAGGACAACGATGAAAGACTACTGAAGATGTTTTGGAAAATTTGGGTAAATATGTGGCAAAAAGGACAGTTAAAGTACCGTTTTCTTTTCTTTTTTCCCCCCACACTGTACAGCCCCCTTTAGTGCTCACAGCCCACCTGTGAGAAGGCTGGGCAATGGTTCAGGGCTGCATGTTCCTATGGCAGGTTCACTAGGAGAGGCCCACAGAAAGTACCGTTTTCTAATGACACAACAGCTTGACAAATTCAGGGACTGGCTAATGATATGAAGTGGTGCCAACTTATGAAGCAAATAAAAGTATCAATGCATTCACCACTGCAACTTAATGAATACGGAGATATTGCTAACAGTGATTGAGGATGTGTGTTATTTGAACATGATATGTAAAGAAGGAAGAATTCTTCCTTTTTTCTGCTTGATTACTGACAAACAGCTAGCTCTAAACTGTGCAGAAATGCAAGTATTACATTGTCACCAAATGTGATTTGGAGCTTGGGCTTTGTGTAGGATTATGTTCTGGTAGCAGAGCTGCAAGGACAAGAAAACCGTCTGAGGTATTACACCGATCAAGGAATTTGTGCCCAAAGATAAATCACACTGCTTCATCAAGAGAATCTTACTACAGGGGCGCCTGGGTGGCTCAGTCAGTTAAGCATCTGCCTTCGGCTCAGGTCATGATCCCGGGGTCCTGGGATCAAGCCCCATGTCAGGCTCCTGGCTCGGCGGGGAGCCTGCTTCTCCCTCTCCCTCTGCCTCTCCCCCTGCTCGTGCTCTCTCTCTCTCTGTATCTCTGTGTCTCAAGTGAATAAATAACATCTTTAAAAAAAAAAGAGAGAATCTTACTACAAAGAACAAAAACAAAAACAAACAAAAAGACAAAACCCTGCCAGGTAAACTTGACAGTGTGCATAGTGGTGTAGTAAGAATTTTTAATTATGTAAAGGCTAATGTATTAATTCTGGATTATTCACTTTAATATGTGATAATATGATTAACTGATAATGAACAGCCCTTCTTGTGCACCAAAGACTTAGAGGAGAAAGGTCAATTGAGAATGTCTAAAGTACAGAGCAATCTCAGTTCTTCTGCAAGATAAGAGCCAGTTTGCTCCCAACATTTTACGGATTTTTAAGCAGGAGTGATTAAAAATGAAAATGACTATAAAAATAACAATTAAAAAAGAAATAAATGGTTACATATTCTCAGCTTTTCATACCCTTTAGAGTTATAATTGATCAAGGAATCTTACAGCATTGCAGGTCACAACTGTCCAGTCTCACATAGCTGGCATGCAGCTTGCTGCATGTACAACTCCCCATGTGAGTTCCACAACACACAAACTGGTCTACACCTTGTTCGTCAAGACCAGTCCACTCACTGGTCATGCTCTTGGGTGTCACAGCAATACAGCAAACTGCTCTGGAAGTTTCTAAATGCTTACTCTCAATTTCTAGGAAATTCTCTTACTGTAGATGACAGACATCCACAGATTGGGGCTGGTTTAAGACCACATTTAGTAGCTCTGGTGGACAAAATTTCTGAAAAGAGTAGAAAGGGGCATCAGTAAGAACATTTGACAGTTCAAGGTTCTGTGGAAAGCCAATAAGGAAACAATGGATGTGTTTTCTATTTTTGAATTACTCTCTCAAATCTAAGCATCCTCAATTGCAAAATGCATCATTATTTTATGTACCACTAAGAAAAACACTGTCAACTAAACGTGACTCATTATAAAACACATTCCGAGTTTAAAGAAGGTATAATGTGGGAGAAAAGTGCTCCTTAGGATCATGAAGTATAATATTTACAGTTTCTACAAGGAAAATAAAATAAGGACAAACATAAACCAATTATTTAAGAAATTATGATGGGGAATATATAAAAAAATTATACTAACAAATTTCTGCTAAAAGGATCAAACAACATTAGTTATGGGAATGGGTAATATCAGACTTATACTACTTAAATTTTCAGCCCTTTTCAGCACATTGGTCTTTTTTGGGAGGATGGGGGGCACTCTCCAGTTTATATTCATTCTCTGAGTTTGCTTTGGAAAACCATTCCTCTCTCACTCTCAGCCTTATGGCCTGGAGTAGTCCTGACTGGCCTAAAAAGACCAGCATCTCCCACAGTGATTAGTTCAGGGAAGGGGCTACAACTCAGAAGCAGTTGAAATGCTGGGAGATACTGGCTCAAGTTTCTGACAAAAAGAAATTTCCTCTGTCCTCCAAGGAGTTATGGGGAGAAGCCATTTTCCCACCCTCCCATATAATATGGCCTGAGGATGCTGAGTTCTGGAACCAAAACAGCCATTCTGCTGCCATGGGAGAGAGCCTCCCACTGTTAGGGTTTAACTAGGGAAGGCCCAAGAGAGCAGAGATTTAGTTGTTGTGATGATAATCTAACTGCAGAATTTGCCTGGTAAGGCAAATGCCTGGTAGCAGGCTTTCTCATGGAGGGGTGTGGTTTTTTGCATTCCTTGTGGTCATGGCACGGTGGTAAGAGCCACCCCCCCCCCCCCGGCCCCCCCCCGTGCCTGCTAATAAACAGATGTCTTCCCTTTTGCACTTCCACAGCACAGGAAAAACAGTTCAGTGAGTCAGCCTTTCTGGCCACAAATCTCAGGTCATGTTCTCTAAGCAGTTTAATCAACAGTAAAGGTAATAGTATAATTAATATGTGTCTAATTCTTGGGTCTATCTCTCAGCGGGTTCCAATTTTAGAAGGAAAGCAAACAATTGTTAATGACAGACTCAAACCCAACGATATTATTATCCTTATTTTACACAAGAGAAAACTGGGTTTCAGAGAGGATGAGCAATGTGCACAAAGTCACCAAAATCTAAAGTATGAGGCAAAACTGGCAGTCCAAGCTAGGGACCTCTCATTAAAACTCTAAAGTCTACATGTTTTCCAATGTGCTCATGTGCATGCATTTCTGTTCATTAAAAACAGGCATACTTCATCAACATTCTTTAACCAGATTTAAAAACCTCTATGTGTGGGTAGAGGGGAGGAAAGGGAAATGAAGTCGCATCCACTGTGCATCTACTGTGTCCCCAACACTGTCCCATACCCTTCGTGTGCTTTCTGTGCTGTGAGCATCATGGCCACCTCCAGGAACCTGCGGCACTGAATTTAGAAGCAGGTCCCCAAAGTTCACAGGCTTTCTCTTTACTGAGTTCTCCTGAAGGCCAAATCTTAGTCTCCAGGCCCTAGAAGGCTGTTACGAGTAGAGTGTTTGCTAACAGCATCAGTTATCTGTTTAATTCACACACTTACTGGAAAGTTCTTTTCAATGGCACAGAACACAACATCCACACATAGGAACACCCCCGTCCGGCCCACGCCAGCACTGCAGTGAACAAGCATAGGTCCTGTAAGGTGGCTCTTCCTCACATAACGCACGTACTTTATGAAGCCATCTACCGAGGCAGGAGTGCCATGGTCTGGCCAGCTGGTGAACTGCAAGTGTTTTACAAAGTGACTACTTCCTGTCTGTGGAGAGAGAAGGGGAGGAAGAGAAGAGGAGGGAGAGGAAAGGAGGGAGGAGGAAGGAGGGGAAGAGAGAGATTTATCAACTTCTTATATTAAAGATCTAAATTGAATTTCTAATATAGTACTACTACTACTAATAATAATAATGGCTCTATGGTCATACAATAATGAAAATCACAATACGAAGAGGTAGCATGATTTAAGCCCTCACGATGTGCCAGGTACTATGCTAGAAAGTTCATATGCATTCTTTCCATTTAATCCTCACGTCAACTCTGGGAGGTAGGTACTGTTTCATCCCCATCTTACAGATGAAAAAGTAAGGATTCGGGTGATTGGGAGATGCATGCTAGGTCAGAAGGCTCGCATGTTCAGAGCTGGAACTATAATGTAGGCCTCCTGAATTCAAATCTATCATCTTTCTTCTGGACCATGGTACTTCAGAAAAACCAAGAACCCAAAAAACTCAGAGTGAAAGATGGGCTAACACATTAAGAAAAGCATTCTATCTTAGCTTAAATACTATGATACAAATTTAAAACAGGTAGGTGCTGCCAAGTTGCTTGACCAGTGGGGCCCCAACCTCTTCTGGTGATGAGGACAGGGTAGGTGATGACCAAGTGAGTGGACTGTGCCCCCACTCTCGTGCTGAGCCCCCTGAAAATACAGTCATGAAACTCTCCTCAGAGTTGACAGATAAAGCACTTTGAGTTTACACATTGTCCCTTCCAAAGTGGGGGCCTTTCCCAGTGTGAAGCCCTCATTTTACTTCACTGGGAACCCTTGTGGGAAAACTCAGGATGGGTTTCTTACTCCTCCCCTGCTTCTCCCTAATGCACCCGTTTTTCCTGAGTTCCAAACAGAAATAAGTTTTCCTAAGTCCCAAATAGAAAACTCAAGTTTGAATCACTGGTACATGAAATTGAATGATGCCAACAACCCTTGCAAAGTTTGTGAAGGCACCAAGTTGAGGACAGCTCTAACCCTACCACGTATTTTAGGGGTTAAATCTCTCCTGCCACTGGTGACCACTAAGCATCTTCGTAAAGGGGGACCTCACCACTTTCCTGACCTAATACCATTCAGACAGAAATCCTGATGCAGATTCTTCAAACATGAACCCCATGGTTCTGAAGCTTGTGGGCCTCAACCCCTTGCCAAGGCTCCACAGGTGGACCCCAGCCTTTGAGTCCCTGCAAACAGATCATTCCTCTGCGCCTCCCACCTGCCTATACTCTCCAAGCAGGCTGTCTTTCTTTTGCCATAACATGTGCCTCACAAGTCAGTTGGAATTTCCTTTCCCACTAGACTATAAGCACTCTAAGAGCTGAGAATGTGTATGCGTTCTGTCTCTAGCACCTGGCACAACACCTGGTTAATACAGGAGGGAATCAACAAGTATTAGGGGAGTGAGGGCTGAGGTGAGTCCCCAAGTGCACAACCAAGTGCAAGGCCTAGCACACAGCTAGCAAGTGTCAGCCATCATTCTTGGCCTCCCTGGTCACCACCCCTGCGCCGATCCTCCTCATACTTTTCAATCCCAGCTTTCCCTCCGATCCTACTCCTTTAACTCATCAACTTCTCCCTTTGCAAGCAGGTGCCCCATCCCATAGTAAACTCTTTGAAAACCTCATCATTTCCCTAAATGCTTCTTCCATTTCCTTCCTTGCCTTCTGCAGCACTTCACTCTCTGCAGCCCCTCCCTCCCATGGAGGCCACCTACTCTCCCGTTCTCCAGGTCCCACAGAGCATAGAGATTAGGTTGTGTACTCCTTGTTGCCCAGTCCTGTTTCCAATCCATCATTTCTTCTTGTGTAAAAACCCTTTCCCTTTTGAGTTTCATACCTCTTAGCTTCATACCTTCACCCTCTCATTACTATTACCAAGTGACTTTAGCCTCCAGTCAATCTGCCACATTCACTGAAGACCCTGACCTTCCCTCTCCCACAGACTCTGACATCATCCAGGGCAAACCTGGGTCTCAACAGCCCAACAGACACTCTAACCTCACAGCATTTGTATTTCTCTCTTGCAGAAGAGACTACTCGTTTCTTCTAGTCCTCACAGTGATGGTCACTCCTTGAACTTAGCATTACCTATAATGTCCAGTATTAAAAATCTTCCAGTTCTTAAATTCCAACATCACTTTCTGACCAGAAGTTCATATGCTACCATCTCATCTGTGCCCCACTTCTACTCCAACAACAATGTGACCAAATGGAGCCCCTCTGTCCTTTACGCCCTCCACTTACTCCTACTTGACTGGTTCCTGGTTCCATTTGTCCCCCTAAATTTAGACTTCATGGCTGACTATCTGAATCATTTTCTTACCAAACTGTTACGACCTTTCATCCTTTGAATTTTACCACACATAGTCCTACCCTGGGTCAGTCCCATAACCTGTGTTCAGGAATCCCATAGTTAGGATGCTGGAAAGAAAATAATCTGTAGGTACATATTTTATTGCTATTGAAAATTTATGGGTTCCAACTTCAGCGCTTCCAGTAACCCTTTTCCTAGTTACTGTTTGGACTCCAATCAACTTCTTTGGTGATGACTCGTCACTCTTGTCAGGCTTCCTGTTTAACACCCATCCCCTTCATTCCTGTTGAACACATGTATCACCTACTTGCTAATCAAATCCACTTAGAGCAATGTAACTCATCACTTTTTTTCCTATAAACCATTCCTTTTCTATTTTTGAATCTATTAAAGCATGAAATCTAGGAGTTATTCTAGATCAACACTTCCCAACAGAACTTTCTACAATGATGCAAATGTTCTACCTCTGTGCTGCCCAGTATGATAGCCATTAGTGACATGTAACTAAACACCAGATATGTGGCTACTGCAAGTGAGACACTGAATTTGTTGTTTCATATAAGTTTAAATAATTTAAATTTAAGCTTAAATAGCCACATGTGGTTATTGTATTGAATAGTTTAATTCTGACCACTCCTTCTGGTCACTTGTAAGTCACAAGTCATAAGTCACATATAAAGTCTGCCAATTTTATATGAAAAAACACCAAAGTCTCTGCATTCCATCTCAATGCCAACTGCCCTGGTTAATCATGGCACCTGCTTATTGAAATTCTTCAATGTCTCCCAATTATCTTCATAATGAAGTTCATGCTCCTTAGTCAACATCCAAGATATTTCATGTTCTGACTGGTCCCTGCTTACTTTATATAGCTTCATCTCACCTCTCATTATTCCCTGGCATTAAACTTTTACATTCCAGAAACACTTAACTACCTACAATTCTCTATATATACCCCATGCTATTTTAGATCTTGATTACCTACTTTTTCTTTCCATCTTTGTCATTTGGGTAGTTCTCAATCCAGATGTTCCCTCCTCCAACAAACCTTCCCCTAAGCCCTACATGAAGCTACGTACTTCCCTTCCAGACCCTCAAAGCATCCCATATTATCATGGAGCACAGTAACTGGAAGTATCAGTAAGCATACCCAAATCTCCAAGAAGTAAGGTGGTGATAGTGCCTGGCACAGTGGTTAGCAATATACTTTAAAGACTCAATACATCTCTGTCACACTCAGCAGAAGCAGCCAAAGGACATCCCAGGATTAGGCAACTTCCAATACTGTCACTCCCTGCCCCACCTCCCCTGTTTAGGTTTTTCATCTCTCCAGTCAGAGTTTGGTTAAGCAGAAGCAGATACAGTGGTGTCTTAGTTTCTGGTACCAGTGAGAATTAAAAACAAATTACTCGGGCGCCTGGGTGGCTCAGTTGGTTAAGCGACTGCCTTCGGCTCAGGTCATGATCCTGGAGTCCCTGGATCGAGTCCCGCATCGGGCTCCCTGCTCGGCAGGGAGTCTGCTTCTCCCTCTGACCCTCCCCCCTCTCATGTGCTCTCTCTCTCATTCTCTCTCTCTCAAATAAAAAAAAATAAAAATAAAAAAATAAAAACAAATTACTCAAAAAAGTATCCCCAGTCTGTAACACATCCTAATCCTAACTTCTCATCCTGACATGTGGCTTATCTAAGCAAATATATATCTCATACTGATTTTTTAAAACTTACAGACTTCTTCACAATGTGAAATATTCGGATGATAAAATATTGAAGTATCTGGTAGTTCTCCAGGAAGATATGACAGTTTTTCAATTCCAAAGGCTTCTTCATAGAAATGGGCCAGTAATGGTGGCATTTGATAATTCCACCTTCTATCTCTCTGGTTATCATGACAATAACATTAGAGTTATTCTCTAAAACCATTTGCCAAAAGTCATCTGTGGTACTTGGCAGTGGTCCTTGAGAAGCAATATAAAAATACTCTTCTCCAGAATTGACTATTCTAATATAGCTAGCATTGATGTAGTCCTTGTTTTCTCCAAGAGGAACACGTGTTGAATCATCTATCATAAAAACAGAAATATCTGGTAGATAAAGGAAAAGTAGGAGATACAATATACCCTGGATTCATGAATGTATTTCACACTGGTAAATCCATTTCTCTCTTTGACCAGGAGGAATCACATGAGTCCATGAATTTCAATTCTTCCCTCCTCCAAACCTATTGGCATGACCTACAAAATACACAATGAGGAGTGTTTTTTGTTTTCATCTGTTTCTATTAAACAGAGAAGGATGCCATCAGTGTCCAGACACTTTGGGAGATTTCTATTAGATATGGCACAGGTAGGATTAGGCCAAGGGAGTTACCTACTAGTCTGCAACTGAACACAGCAAAGGAGGAACCCTCTGAGGGAGTAAGTGAATGCCATTCTCCCTCAAATCCAGAGAACTTGCAAGCCCAGAGCAGTAGGGGCCAGGAAAAAAAAAAAATTTGACTGTGACAGTTGATCAGTTACAAACCCAAGGATTAATGGAATTCTACCAATGCCCCAAATACATGCCAGCCAACTTTTATGTCCATCCTCAGCATTCACTGGGTAAAACAGCATGCTAATCAAAGCAAAGATATTGTGGCAAATGATGCTATGAAGGGATTTGGTCCAAGTAACATGGAACTCACCTAACATGGACTCTTGCAACAAATATGAAAGAGGAAGCCCGCTACTTGGCCCCAGAGCTCTTTATTCATTTTACATAGACAGCTGGACCTCTGATTCAACCACTGCTCCCACACAGACAATAAATGCCCTCAGTAAAGGATGGACCTTCCCTGACGTGCAGCGGTCTCACCAATAGCTCCTCTCTACTACTCAAGAGTCCTGTGGACCACTTATTTGGCCAATAGGGTATGACCAAGATAACTGAACAGGGCCTTACACAGTTTCTGACAGAACCATTCTCAGATTCCAACACAGCAAATGTAAACTTCCCCTTGTAAATATGAATAAATTGGAAAAACAATCATTAGATATATAAAGATAGCCAGTTCTTCACAAAAGGAGACAATTTTTAAAAATCACAGCAAATGTTTTCCTTTCTATAAGAGGGAAGAATACTTTGAAACTCCTATTTTTATTGAAAACAAAATCTGAAAGGACATTATTTAAAAGAATAACATACATCTATGGTTACTGACATATTATTAAATTATAAAGGAGGTAACAAAAGCGTTATAGTGAGATCTTTCATCATGTATGTACATATATATATACACACATATATACAAATACATCATATATAAACATGTAATAATAATAAACCTGGCAAGTATTCACCAAAATGTTAGCAGGGGCTATTTTGTTATCTAAATTTTTATAGTGAACATATACTATTTTATAGCAGAAAAGCATTTTTTTATTTTTTTTTAAGATTTTATTTATTTGACAGAGAGAGACACAATGAGAGAGGGAACACAAGCAGGGGGAGTGGGAGAGGGAGAAACAGGCTTCCCGCCGAGCAGGGAGCCCGATGCGGGGCTCGATCCCAGGACCCTGGGATCA